TAAATATTTGGAAATACTCAGCAGTAAATTTTTAGAAGTGTGCACTGAGTGTCTTTAAAATATATACAACTCTTCATACTTTTAGTTTCCTTTTGTGTCAGTTTTGTTTCAAGGATTTTGTTTATAGGTGCACTTTATTTTATTGCACTCTGTAGATTTTTTTGGGTACAAACTGCCACAAAGGTTTGTGGCATCCCTGAGTTGAACAAGCCTAATGGTGCCAGTTTTCCAACAGCATTTGCTCATTTTGTGTTTCTGCATCACCTTTTGGTAATTCTTGCAATATTTCAAACTTTTTTATTATCACTGTGCTTGTGATGGTGATTTATGATCAGTGATTACAGTCTGCTGGAAGCTCAGATGATTGTTAGTGTTTTCTAGCAATAAAGTATTTTTAAATGAAGGTACACACATTGTTTTCTTAGACATAATGCTATTGCACACTTAATAGACTACAGCATAGTGTAAACATAACTGAGAAACCAAAAAATTCATTTGACTCACTTTATTGTGATATTTGCTTTATTGGCCTGGAATAGAACCCACAATATTTCCAAAGTTCAAATAACTTTTTTAAAGCTATTGGCAGAGATTTTTTTCTTAGTATCTTCTTACTATTTCTTCGTTTTCTCCAGGATCTGTAGTGAGTCATTTTTCTCATTCCTGGTACTGATTATTTGTCCCTACTTTCTTTTTATTTGATCAGTCATTTTGGAGGGCTATCGCTTTTATTAGACTTTTCACAGAAACACCTTTTCATTTACATTATTAACATTTTAATGTTGTTTCCTTTCCATATCATTAATATCCACTCACATCTTTGTTATGTCCATCCTTCTGTCTCTGGATTTAATAAGTTGTTACTTTTTTAACTTTTCTAGCTGGATGTTCAGGGGATTGATTTTCATCATTTTTCCAACCATAACACATGAATTTAAGGCTATGAATTTCACTCCAATCATTCCTTATATTTAATTACACAAATTTTGATATGAAATATTTTCCATCATCATTCAGTCAAATTGTAATTTTCAAAGTGATGTATTCCTTGACTTATAGAATATTTAGAAGTATACTCTCCAAGTATGTAGGAATTTTACAGTAATCTCATTCTTATTTTATTTTTAGAGAGCGTGACCATGAGTAAGAGAGAGGGGCAAAGGGAGAGGAAGAAAGAGAGAGAGAGAATTTTAAGAAGGCTCCATGCTCAGTACAAAGCCTGACATGGGGCTCAATCTCATGGCCATGAGATTATGACCTGAGCCAAAATCAAGAGTTGTTGGATGCTTAACTGACTGAGCCACCCAGGCACCCCTCTCATTGTTATTTTATAACCTAATTCTACTATAGTCAAAAAACGTACTCTATATTATATCAATTTTTTTTGAAATCTGTTAAAACTTAGTTTGTGACTCAGAGTATAACAAATATTAGAAGATATGATGTGTAGTCTTCTGTTGTTGGGCACAGTGTCCATACATCAGTGTGGTCATTTATTAATTTATTAATTTATTTCTATTTATTAAAAAATATAGCCTTACTGTTTTTTGTCTGCTCATTCTATTAGTTACCACAAGGGATATGGTAAAACTGCCAAAGTGACTGTGACCTTTGTCTAATTTTTTTCTATTCTTGTTAATTTCAAATTATTTATCTTTGAGGGTAGGTTGTTAGGTACATTCACATTTAGAGTCGTTACCTCTTCTAGTGGCTTGACCACTTTACCATCTTGAAACTATTTTCTTTCAGCACTTTGAGGGTATCTCTCCATTGTCTTCTGGCTTCCACTTACTCTCTTCAGAAGTCAGCTGTCAGTCTTATTTGTATGCTGTAGAAGGTAACATGTCTTTCTCTCTGTCTGCTTTTAAGTGTTTCCTCTTTGGTTTTCATCAACTTTTGAATATTTATTTTTTTATTTATTCAGTGAGCACACATGCAAGTTGGGGAGGGGGAAAGAACAAGGGAGAGAGAGAATCCTCAGCAGATTCTGTGCTGTCAGCACAGAGCCTGATGTGGGGCTTGATCCTATGAGCCATGAGATCATGACCTGAGCAGAAATTGAGAGTCGGACACTCAACTGACTGAGCTACACAAGCACCCCTGGTATTCATCAGTTTGACTGTGATGTAGTTAGTGGCTTTCTTCTGCTTGAGGTTTGTGCTGCTTCACAACTCTGGCGTGATATCTGCCATCAATTTAGGAAGATTCTCATTTATCACCTCTGTGGGTATAGTTTCCATGCCATTCTCTGGGTTCTCTTTTTCAGGGACTACATTTATACCTTCATCTCTCATGTCTACTTTCCACTTCCTTCTTACGTGTCTGTTTACTGATTCTCTCTTCAATTGTATGTAATCCGGGGGTCAGCAGATCCTGGCCAGCAAGCTGATGGCCTGTTTTTATAAGTGGAGTTTTGCTGGAACACAGCCACAGCCCTTTGTTTACAGATTGTCTGTGGCTGCCTTTTTCCTATGCCAGCCAAGTTGAGTAACTGTAATGGGGACAATATGGACTGAATATTATATTTACTCTCTGATTCTTTGTGAAGATAGTTACTGAACCCCAGTCTAATCCATTGTCATGTCTGTCCACTGAGACACTGATTTAAAGTACTGTGCCTCGTTCTTCTAGAATTGCCATTTTGTTTTTGTGGCTTCTTTGTTTCTAGTGAAATTCTCTGTCTTGTTACTTAGTTTCTTAAGCATTTTAACCATCATGTCTTAGTCCAGGTTCTCCAAAACACAGAGCCCAAGAAGGGAGCCATGTGCTAACGCTGATGTTTTAAGACCCTGGCCCTTTACGGGGTCTTGTGAAACATGATCTGAAGCCAAAGCTAAAATTTCAGGAGTTGGTGGCAGTATAAGTAGGTGTTTAAGTTTCTGTCTGGTGATGCCAATATCTAGAGATTCTCTAATTCCATTTTTAGTGTATCGTTGCACCTTTTTTGATTGTTGTTAATTTTTATTTTTGTGTGTGCCTGGTTATTTTTAAGTTTTGCTGTATATAGTGGATGAAAGATTACAGATATGCTTTGAGACTGGATTAATTTCTGCTTCTGGAAGATAGGTTAGCAGCCAGTTACCTCCGGCCAACAAGGAATTGAAATAATTGGAACCTGGCCTTCATTCCCTTTGAAAACTGGTCTATTTCCAGTTCATACTCAAGGCTAGGATTGAGCTTTTTTGGGGTCCCTGTTGGGCACGTGGGGCATTTACTGGGCCCCCCCTCGGCTTGGTGGACATCGAGCTCCAGTGTTTGTTCTGAGCCACGCAAGTCTGATGACAGGTCTGCTCAGCTTCTCAGCCACTCAGTCACCACTCACGATGGAAAATGCCGTGAGCAGAAATGTGGTGCCAGAGGCGGTGCCAAATGTTATGCTCGCTCTCTGGGCTTCCTTTGTGTCTGGGGTCTTGGCCCTGCAAACACTCAGTGGTATGGGGGTTCTCTGACGCCTTCAAATGCGTTAGAAATGCATTATAAGCAGTGTTCTCACTCTCCCTGGCAGGATTCATCAGAGACAAGCCATTCCTCCACAGCTAGGGCAAAACCTTCTAGAAGCGCTTCACGCCTCTGTGACCCTGTGCCTCCCTCCCTCCCCCACCTCACCTCCCCGACAGCTTCTCCCGCTACAGTTTTTCTACTGCTTTATAATCAAATACATCCAAATATTATCTTGTAGTCAACTCTTCCTCCCATTTATGAATAAGCTTTATTAATTTAGTTCATCATTATTGCTGCTTGCATCTACCTTCTTCTGCTTTTATATTAGTTCTTGTTTAATACCTTTTAGTCGTTTTTTTTTTTCTTTTTTTTTCTGGTGAGGGTCTCAAGTGGTACAATTTCAGTCATTCTGTGTCTGAAGATATCTCTGTTTCACTGATTGTGATAGATAATTTGATCATAGATTGATCGTTGATCTTTGATTGTTGATTAGTAATTTAGTTACAAAAGTCTAGACAAAAAGTTATTGCCACTCAGCACTCTGAAGGTGTGATCTTGCTTCCTTCCATCCAGGCTCACCTATGAGGAATCGGATGCCAATCTGATTCTGTTTCGTAGGTAATCATTTCTTTTTCTTCCTGAAAACTTTTAAGACTTTTCTTTATCCCGGTTGTTGTACCTTTTAAAAATGTCTGCTCAGAACTTGAATATTTTTAAACCAAATACACCTGTCTTTCTCAAGGTCCAGGAAATTCTCAGCAATCATATCATCCAATATTGGCTCTTCATGATGACCTCGGTTGGCTCCAGCTTGAAATCCATACGGGTGTTGGCATTTCTGGACAGATCCTGCACGAATTCTATTTCTTTTTCTCCTTTCATTGCATTCTGGGAGTTTCCCTTGGTTCACTCATTTGTTCGGTCAGTAGGGAAGAAGAGAGAAAAGTAGCCGGAGAATGTGCTCCGTGAGTGTTATCCCTCAACAGCACTTTCCTCTTCCGTCCCTGGCTCACGCGCGGTGGCGCCCCTTCTCTTTAGTCAGATGCTGGAATGCTCGAGTGCGAACACCACATATTTGTGTACATTTCTCCAGTTGTGCGTTTCAGAAGACCTTTTTGGAAGGATTTGCATAACGATGAAAGTGTAAGAATTATTGCAGGTGTGAGAGTTCCAGGCATGTGAGATGGTGCAAAGAAGCGGAGACTGTCTCAGCCCCTGCTCTCGTGGAAATTAAACTCAGATGTATCAGGGAGAAAGGAAAGAAGTTACACAAACAAATAGAAAAGGCCACCTACCCGTTTGAGAACTCCCTTCCAGGCATGGAATTGTCTGGAACAACGACTCTGGGCAGAGTGGTTGAGGTCTTCTGAGCCCCTCTTTGTGGCAACCCCGAATGAAACGTTATCACGTTAGACGTTTTGGGATCCTCCTGTGCCGCTGTTGGTTGTGAGAGATGTGTGATGGTGTACGTCAGTGAGACACACTGGTCTCCTGTGGGAAGGTGCGGGAAGTGCTAGCTCACCGTATGCGGATGGATCCTCACGGTTCTCTCTGTCCAGACCAGGTACACGGCGGCCAAGGACAGTGTGGTCCAGTTCTTCTTCTACCAGCCGATCAGTCATCAGTGGAGACAAACCGACTTTTTCCCCTGCACCGTCACATGTGGAGGAGGTGAGGCACAGACTTCGGCCCTGAGTGTTTAGAGCTCAGAGTTAGAAAGGACACACTTGTGTTTTTTGAAGCTGACTGTAAAATGCGTGTGGTGATTGGTGGTGTGTGGTCACACGGCGTCCTACTCAGCAGCCTCGATCTCAGAGGTGTGAACAAATTCGTGTTTGCCTTTATCTTGGGGACAGGTGAAAACAGGATTTGGAAAACACCTTTGACTTCTAGCAAAAAGCTGGAGACGTATTTCCGTGTGTTCTTGCATTTTTTATCTTACATATTCATAAAGCATGGGTTATTTTTAATTCTCAACGGAAAACCTAAAAAACAGAGAGACCAAATAACTTGGTTAATGGAGGCGTCGGTTCTAACATTTAGATCTCCACCCCGTGCTCCCTCAGGTAGGTAGGTGACAGAGCATAAATTACCAGAAAGAGAAAGAGCAGCTGCTAAGTGGTCAGAGGAACACCCTGCTTACCGCTTGCTTAGTTCAAGGATTTCACAGACAGTTAAGGAAGGTTCTGGGCTCCGCACACATGCTACACATATTTACAGGCACAGGTGGCGGATAGTCAGCTGTTTAACATGGAGAAAGCGTCTGCCTGGAGGAAATGAGGCGGCCACCAGGGCCTCCGTTACTATAAGTCTCTTTTAAGAAACTGAATTTTTAAATTGAGGAGTAAATGCTTCTAAACTAGTGCCAGCCCAAGAACCCAAGTGGTTCCTGGAATTGCTAGAAGGCTTTATGTTGCTAACTTCCCCTCAAAGCACCAGGCATAGTGCTGGGCATTTACATGTAGCAGGCCACGTGTTGGGGTGTTCGTCTTTACATCTGTTCTTCCAAACAACCCCAAGAAGGGTCTCTTCGCATGGCCGTGTTAGGCGTGAGCAAACGGAGACGCAGACAAGGTAAAGAACGTGCCCCCGTCTGCTCAGCCGGAGGACGGCTCAGCCGGGATCTGCCTCCACGGCCGTCCGGTGCCAGAGCCCGGTGCTCTCACTGACTTTGCCTTTGTGTCTCCCATGAACCATGTCCCGCGGCGGGCAGCAGGTCAGGGTGCGCAGGGTGCTCTGTGGGAAGAACCAGGATAAACCCTCCTCCGGCAGCCCCACCCAGCTCAGCCCCAAACCGCTTCTTCCATGCAGAGCTGCAGAATGTCCGCTTCCTCGGGGAGAGCCACAGCCCGAGTGGGGAGGCTGCCTTTTTTCCCTTAAACTCCGGGCGTATCAGGGAGGGCTTCTCAGCCAGCGTCAGGTTCCTGGGGTCTGTATGTCAGAGCCCTCTGTTCCGGGTTTGGGCTCCCTGTGAGACAGGAGGCAGGTGCTTTTGTGGGGAGCACTGGGTAGCCCAGACCCCAGAAGGAGTTTGTGTTGCTGAGAAGGAAAGAGAAACGGTCTAGGGCTTGAATGGGGCCCTGGAAACCAGGTAAAAGGTCAGTCTTCCCAGTTACTTCTGCTTAGACTTGGCTTGGGCAGTGGACCGCTAGATTATGGTCCTACTGCCGTGGTGCTCCAAGTGGGGTCCCTGGGCCCGCAGCTTCAGGGTCACATGGGAACTTGTTGGAAATGGAAATTCTTGGGCTCCACCCTGGACCAACGGAACGAGAAACTCTGGGGGTGGGTCCCATTAATCCTTTTCAACAGTCCCCTCAGGAATTTAGGCTCCACATTCAAGTTCAAGAATCTTTGGCATCAGCTGTAGCCGTATTAATCACCCCTTTTGCCGAATCTGTGTTACCCTTGCGCTATTACTTACTTAAGGTTTTTTCTTTAAATGGACGTTTTGACATTTAAATAGAGGCCCCTGGGTGGCTCAGTTGGTTAAGTGCCCACCTTGGACCCACGTCATGTTCTAATGGTTTGTGGATTCGAGCCCTGCACTGTCCGTGCAGAGCCTGCTTGGGACTCTCTCTCTCTCCTTCTGTCTCTGCCCCTCCGCCACTTGCTCTGTCCTTCTCAAAATAGATAGAAATAAATAAACTTAAAACATTTTTAAATAAACATATTCACAAAAAAGTTAATATTATCTCAAAGAGGAAAACTTAGCTCTTGCCATTATTGAACACAATCACAAAAATGAAGATTTAAACACAACGCTGGAGGCTATCTGTAAGTCCCTGCCAGCCCCTAACATTCTCTGTTTTTCTCGATTCCCCCAAAAGTGAGAATGTATTTTGTGAACATTACAAGCATTGTTCCGAGGCAGAAACTCCTTCAGAGCTTTGAGTCACTGACCTTGCGTCAGTGATCGCAAGGAAAATCTTAAAACACATTTGATCTCCTTGAAAGCTGATTGAGGGAAAACAGGGTTTGGAGTTGAGCCCGTGATCTGCATAAATTCAATGAGTCTCTCCCAACCTGGGCCTCAGGCTCATTTTGGCCAAACTCGTTCTCCAAAAATGGCGTGACGACATTTCCATCAAGAGGCAGTGTGGCCACAGAACTGAGGTCCAGGGACTTGGACCCACTTCCTGGCTCTGCCACTACTTGGCTCTGTGCCATCTTTGAGCCTCAGTCTGCTCATCCATAAAATGGGACGATCCCCCTTGCAGCACTGTCGGGGAATAAAATGAGATGACTTGTGTCAAGGAGCCTAGTACAGTGTCTGGCAATTAATGGATACTCGGGAAATATCTGTTATGCCCGGATATTTTGGACATATATTTTGTTAAAAATTCTGCATAATCTACAGGGTTGTGGCCGTCCCCCCTCCTGGCATTCTCCGGGGGTGAGTTATGAGATACATCCATGACTCAGGGTGAGTGGGACATACCCATAGATTCCCTACATGCACACCTTATATCCAGAAGCAGAATCCCACCACCTGTGAGTCAGGTGGGCTCTGGCTCCAGGGATGACAGTCCCTCATGGATCCCCGAATGAAAGCAAAGAGCTGGTGGGGCATTCTTACTATTCTTACTCCGCAAGGAGACAAAGATCTCTTTCTTTTTAATTTCTTCCCTCTCACGCCCAGGTATCCGGAGAGACGTTCCCATTCAGGTACGTGAGATGAGAGAGGAGCTTTTCCACTCTGGGAGGGGCATTTGGAATGGGACTCCGCTTAGTTCAGTTGGTTACATTCTTGGGAGGGAAACAGATGTGCCTCATACTCAGGTGCAGAGGGAGAGACAGAGTCACCCCTGCTGGAACCGTAAATGGGAGCACCTGGCAGTGAGACTGGCTGCCAGAGACAGCAGTGCTGGTGAGAGCAGAAGGGAAACGTCAGGCTGCTTTGGGGGCCCCCCCAGCCTGCCATTTTCTGCACGCTGGCAGAATTCCGATACATTGGTTCACGATATAGGACCCACCTTATTTCCTTCACTTTTAGTTATCCCTGTACCTCCATAAAATTAGAGAGGAAAATTAATTGTCTCTCCTTAAATTGTAAATACCTGTACGCTCTTGTCTCCTAAAAGCATGTTTCCCTTTATGTTTCTTTGATTCAAGGAGGTGTAGTCTCGTTCTGTTCTTGTTTGGGGGGAAATAGACACACACGCAAAACCCACAAGGAAAGCATTACCAGAACCTAATTACGTTAGTAATCAAGTCGACATGATTTGTGTCGGTGCCATTTCTGAGTTGTTGGATCAGCAGGCGAGTCAGTTCCCTGCTCCCCAAGGTACTTGGATGCTGGAATTTTCTGGGCTTGCCTGTAATCATCTACGCGGGACTTGAAAGATCAGTCTGGAGAAAGGACTGGATTGATTGCTGCCGCCATCTGATATTGTAGACTTTCGGGCAGATATTGGCACCCCAGTAACATTTTATTGACTCCATTTGGATTTTCGTTCTTGTGGTTTCAACCTTGCTTTTTATAACGCATACCAGTCTGTCCTTCCCCACGCCGTGGACGTCCAAGCCACGGCGTGCGGAACGCTGTCTAGTGGTTTATAAAATCAGATTCCTCTCGGCAACCAGGCCCTTAAGTGTATTTTTAGACCTTAAGACCAACTGGCTGAGGCTGAGAGCTTAGCATTGAGCCTTTTTTCTTTTCCTGAAGAGCTCATTCTGGTTTTAAAAAATCGCCTTTAAAAAAAAAAAGAAAGAAAGAAAGAAAACTTCGCATGACACTTATGTAGTGACAAGAAACCTGGAATCAGATCTTTCAGGAAATAGAAGCACCATTTTGTCAGTTGTTTTTTAAATCTACGGCACTCATCCATTTGGAATGCTCATTCCTCAGAGACCGTGCAATTTTAATTTCATGGAATCGAGAGAGAGTTTTCATCCCTTCCCCTTCGAAGGATTTGGAGGCAGGGGGCGGTGTCAGGGATGGACTTCATTCCTCCCGGTGTGGACAGTGCTTACTTCCCCAGTTAGGGAAGTTCATTGGCATCCACGGTGCCACAGGTACCCCAGGATGGCAAAGAGGTAAAATGCAGTATCCGCAAGCACCGGGATATTGTGGTGGAAGGAGGCAGTCACCAGGCTGGGGGGTGGCTCTCAACAGTGTGTCGAGTGAGAAGAGTAGACAACAGAACAAGATTTAAAATACCTATCTAGTTCCAACAGGTGCACGTGAGCAACATTGCACAGGGCAGATGCGTATTTGAGAACATATAAACAAGAAAGAGGGGTATCTGGGGGAGTCAGGATGGGAATAGTAAAGATAGAAGTATGAGGAAATGGGGGTCCTGGCGCGGGGCTATGGGGACAGTCAGGAGGCTGGCCACTGAGTGACTCGAGGTCTAAGCATCCCATAAAGGAGTCTGTTGTCCCTTTTTCATTGAAAGTGCTAAGACAGGGCTCCTGGGTGGCTCAGTTGGTTAAGCGTCTGACTCTTGACCTCAGCTCAGGTCATGATCTCACAGTTTGTGAGTTCGAGTCCCACATCGGGCTCTGCACTGACGTTGCAGAGTCTGCTTGGGATTCTGTCTCTCCTTCTCTCTGACCCTTCCCTGCTTATGCTTGTGGTCTCTCTCTCTCTCTCTCTTTCAAAATAAATGAATAAACTTTAAAAAAAGAAAAGTCCTAAAACGACCATAGTCAGTTTCAGTAATCACTCTCAGTCTCAGCCACATGTCTTAGTCATCTTGGAAGAGGGGAGCCTGGGTGGCTCAGTCGGTTAAACGTCCGGCTTCAGCTCAGGTCATGATTTCACGGTGAGTGGGTTCGAACCCTGCATCGGGCTCTGTGCTGACAGCCATCTCAGAGCCTGGAGCCTGTTTCAGATTCTGTGTCTCACTCTCTCTCTGACCCTCCCCTGCTCATGCTGTCTCTCTCTCTCCCAGAAATAAATTAAAAAAAAAAAATTAAAAAAATTAATCATCTTAGAAGAACCTGAAGATCATTAGAACACACAAACCAATCCATTTCCTGGACGGAGCCACACAGTGTTTCAGCCTCAGTGGGACTGTGGAGGGGCCCACGCGCTGGTGTGTGCAGAGGCTCCCTGTGCTTCTGTTGCGTAGCTGGGGATGAGCACCACGGAGTTGAGCTCCTTCCGGGGGAAGAAAAGTCGGCGGCAAGGGCTCACTACCACAGGAAGATGCCATGCTGCAGTAGTCACACGTGCCTTTTCTTTTTCCCATTAGGTTATCAGCTCAACTCGGCTGAGTGTGTGGATATCCGCTTGAAGAGGGTGGTTCCTGACCATTACTGCCATTACTACCCCGAGAATGTGAAGCCCAAGCCCAAGCTGAAGGAGTGCAGCATGGACCCTTGCCCTTCGAGGTCTGTACCATTGCCCATAGTGTTCACTCTAGAGAGAAAGCAACCAATTGCTGCCGAGACCAGTCCATCCGTGCAGACTGACATTTGCCCCGCATGACCTTGAACGCACACAGGTGGCAGCTGCCTGGGCTTGTAGCCCTGCTCAGCGGGACAAGGCTCGCTCACTCAGTCCTGCGCTCTCCTGTCTGGCTGTGTGTACGTGTGCCCTGACACATCCCCCTGTGTAAGGACCCTGTGTGAGCATCTCCTACACACGCAATAGGAAGGATCTCTCCATCCAAGTACGATGTCTTGTCCATCTGCTAGTCATAAATAACTTGAACTCACCATTTTCACTTTGAAACTGGGTCACCCATTGCCCTGTTCTGACTTTGGAAGTGTTCGCATTAAGTTCAGCATAAATAATGCATTGTGCAAGCAAATTAGAAGTTTTAATGCCAAGGCAGAAAAGCTATGCATAAACTATCCCGTTGCATAATTTAGTACCTGCTGACTTGGCTTGCCTGGGGAAGTTTCCTGGCTTTACTGCAGTATCTTAAAATAACAGCACAATATCAAGTCCTAGAATCCCCCAGACTTCTGCCAGCTGGCTGAGGCAGAAGTGTGCAAATGGAAAAGGAAGCCTTCTCTGTGGATTTCATTTCCTATCACCGACCGCCCATTTCCTGGAATCCCAGGTGAACATAAGTATTAATAGAGCCCTTTTCAAAAGACAGATTCTATGAAACAAAATGTTTTTCTAAAGAGCCTACCGAGATGACAGCGTGTTAGGATCATTAACATATAAATAGCCTTTTTAGAGGGTGAAAAATAGATTTATCTAAATTAAGAGACACCCTTTCCTTTGATTAATATGTACCACTGGTTTCTGTACTTTCATTTAACTGGGAGGCATGTGCCAGAGATGGTCCCGAAAACGAAAAAGGTGGTGGGAAGTTTAGGGGCAGAGTTCACAACACCTGACATATTTAGTCTTTCAGTCTGAAAGGGCTCTGTCTTTTGGGATGTCAGATCTGTGTTGGTTCAATAAATACGTTGATTGATTTGGCAATGACATTGTCACAATGATTTCATTTGTAGCGATGGCTTTAAGGAGATCATGCCCTATGACCACTTCCAACCCCTTCCTCGGTGAGTTACGTGTTTCTGTTTTCCACTCCGTAATTTGCTCTGAGAAGTTTGCGAGGAACTATAGTGTCTATAGAAAGAGTCCAAAATGTAAGAGGGATAGATAGGAGGGCCTTTATAGGGAGCTCAGGGAAAACAGGCCTCAACTCCATAAGGAAGATCTGTTACAGAATCGGATGGGCTGCGCTGCCTCATACAGCCTCGTCTCCCATCACTGGAGACGTCTGGCCATTAGGGAGGGAGCTCAGGCAGTGTGGCTGGTCAGAAACGTGACCCCTCTTTTACACCTGGATGACTAGTTCCTGACTTGGGGTTTCTATGGTTCTAGTAACATTGTGCACTAGTGCTTATAGTCTAGAGAGAGCTTAAAGAATGCTTTTGGCAGTACTCGTCATGGTCGCGTTTGCAGGCTTGAAACGAACACGCCAGTGACAAGTAAATGTGTTTTTATTTGTTCGCTTTCGAGCTGGGAGCATAACCCTTGGACTGCGTGCTCCGTGTCCTGTGGAGGCGGCATTCAGAGGCGGAGCTTCGTGTGTGTGGAGGAGTCCATGCACGGAGAGATACTGCAGGTGGAGGAGTGGAAGTGCATGTATGCGCCCAAACCCAAGGTCATGCAGACCTGCAACCTGTTTGACTGCCCCAAGTGGGTTGCCATGGAGTGGTCTCAGGTAAGATTTGGGGACAGGGCACTTTATTTTTTACTTTTAATTTAAGTCCGATTTATCGAGATTGTTTCTTTTTTTAAGCAGTCTCCACACCCAGCCCAGAGCCCAACACAGGGCTTGAACTCACGACCCTGAGATCAAGACCCGAGCCAAGATGAAGGGTCAGGCTCTCAACCAACTGAGCCACCCAGGCGCCCAAAGGACAGGACACTTTCAGTGACACCTCAGATTTGAATGAACGTTGGTTAGGTGTTATCGATCCCTTTGTCACGTACCCCTCAAAGGTGCTCACAAAATTAAATACCCCTCCGCCTATATTTAGGTTGACGTCTAAAAGTTTTGACCTTACGTTCAAATAGAAAGTATCAGAGAATGTCATTCCTAACATGTGAATGCTGACATTCTAAAATAAAAGTGTTACAGCGTTAAAAAAAAAAAATGTGTTCAGCAGAATGTAAATGCCATGTTGATTTCTCTCCATGCCATCCTCCCCTTAAAAATCACACAAAGAGGTTCTTCTTGAACAGTTTGTGGATAGTTTGCTTTTTTTCCCCTTGAGCTCACCTTCTGAATCCACTCTCCCCACAGAAGCATTTCCCAACATGATGTACTTTTCTGCTATAGTCTTTTATTGATTACACTATTCTACTTTCCAAAGAAATATGTGTAGCATTTGAAATCATTTCATTATATTTGAAATTCATTTATTTCAATTTCCTGTGGCCATAGGCTCCGAGTATTAGAAACGTCTCCCTGAATTATTACTATCACAACATAAGTATATTTCAAATTTTGGTAAACACTTATTACACATAAAAGGTAAATTTTCAGTTGAAATCAATCCTTCCAGAAAACGAGGGCGGGTGGCTTAAAAAATCATCCGTTCCCAGAATGGGTTCAGACCTGGGTTCCACAACAATTTTATTCTTAGTTTTTACTGCCGATTTCTTGTTCTGTTTTGTTTTGCATGTGTACACCAGGAAAACTTGTTCTCATAAGTAAACAGAACCGAGATAGGAAGATTTATTACAGCACAGCCATTCCGTTCTTGAACTTCTGACTTACGTGCCAAAAGTCACCTCGTGATGTCATCAAAAATCAACATTTTTACTTCTGTAACCTGCAGAGCTCATTTGCAACTCTCAGAAGTCCCATCCTTATGTTCTGTGTTGCCTTGAGAGCTTTTATACCACAACCCCACATCCCCATCAGTATCGTGACTTTATTGTCACTCACAGTATCAAAAGAGGGGTTGCTCACTGAGTCCTCTCGTTTACCTTCCTTGGCTCTTAATACTTTTCATTTCTTTTCAGACATCAAATACATTCTCAGTAATGACAATTTGCTATCATGAAGGGTATGTTCAGCTCCAAAGAGGCGTTCTGGAAATTGTAAATAGCGACGGCATTGTTCGGGTTAAGTGTCCAGCTTCCGGAGGGGTGGGGGCTGTGTGAGAGGGGACAGTACTCCTTTGGATTGACCAGTCCTCGTGTGGTTATACCTTATCATCATACTGTTTTCTTACTCTTTGGGCAGAGTTCTTCTTTCTTTCTTGACCGGTATGCAACAGCCTGTGAAAGTCCTACATATTTCGAGTTGATAACTCTCGGCGTAGGGGAATCGATTTCCCAGAAATAGGGTCTAATCTCCAACCTCACTCAATTCATTAGAATATTATCACTGAGGTAAGAGGAAATCAGATAGGTTTCCTGATAGTCTTTTTTTTAAATCCCTATTTTTAAAAATTCCAGCGTAGTTAACATAGTGTTACATTAGTTTCAGGTGTGCAATTTGGTGGTGCAGTGGTTACATATATTACTCAGTGCTCATCACGGTGAAGTGCGCTCTTATGCCCTTTTCCCTATTTCACTCCCCACCCCACCCCTACCTCCCGATGGTAACCATCTGTTTGTTCCATGCCTGCCGATATATTCCCTTTCTGGAGAAGTGAGTATGCCAAAAAGGCCTCCATATCCTGTGAAACTTGTCTGGGACAGTGTAGGACACATCTACAGATGTAAGAAAGAATCCTTGAGCTCGATGAATCGGTGGCAAAGTCATGGTTTTGGCAGCAAGAGGCACCGGGATGGAATTCCACTCTGTCTCTTGGGAACTGGGTGACCTTGAGCAAGGTCCTTTGGTGGTGGGCTGTTTGCTCATCTGTTGAATGGGAAGGAGGCTACTGGCCTGCAGGCACTTGGGGCCATTAGTGAGATAAGGCCTATGGGGCTGCGCCTGGTCTGTAGTGGTCTAAGCACCCTCAGCCCCTCCCTCAGATGGATCGAGAATTGGTGAGGCCTGAAGTGTATACAGTTTGGAGGTGACCTTGAAGAAGAAAGGATGCAAAATACAAATATTGAGCGTCTCAGTGAATTTTTATTTAGAATGAGCCAAAAAGCGCAAAATTTTTAAAAACTGACAATGACCTGAACGTGAACTCTGGACTTTAGTTAACATAATACATCAGCATTGGTTCATCAGTTGTAATGACTGTACCACACTCAATGCAGATAATCAATAATAGGGGAGACTGGGTGGTGAGGAGTGGGGCATAGCAGAATTGTGGACTGTCAGCTTTTCTGTAAACATAAAATGGTCCTAAAAAATAAAGTCTATAAAGGAAAAAACCACATACATATACACATATGTAGTCCCCAACATATGTATGTAAATTGAAAAGATATCCTAGATTTTGATGAAAGGAAAATACTCCATTTATTAGCAAGAGAACTGTCCAAATCATAATAATTCAAGAAAAAAAATACAATACAAGCTTCATGAAAATTCAGACAAAATAACAAAATGTTTACTTAAAAATTTTTTTAATATATTTATTTTTGAGAGAGTGAGTGTGAGCAGGGGAGGGGCAGAGAGAGACGGAGACATAGGGTCCGAAGCAGCTCCAGGCTCTGAGCTGTCAGCACGGAGCCCAACCCAGGGCTTGAACTCATGAACCGTGAGATCATGACCTGAGCCAAAGTCAGACACTTAACTGACTGAGCCACCCAGGTGCCCCACAAAATGTTTTTATTAATTTAAACTGCTTGATATTTTGACAGTATTTCTCCTGAGCTTTGGGCCTGAATACAATGGCCTCTTCATATGAACACAGTTTTGCAGGATCGATTTCTATAGACAGAATGGAAAGCAAATCCTTTAGCATGACTGATCAGAATTTGCTTTTTTAATAGATAGTTTTAAAAATTTCCCATTTTCTCAAATTGTTTTGGATAATTTCATAAAAATTTAATCAGATTTGAAAAAACCTATATCAAGTTTCTTTAATATCGAACAGAACAATTTCAGGTCATTTCAGTCTTTCTTGTGCTGTGACCTCATCTGAAATAGTTTTCAGATTGAGGATTGGACAGAGGCCTTGCAGAGGGAGGGGTCCTGACACAGAGGATCCTGGAAAATCAGCCTCCCCCTTCTTTACATAATGTTTGTCTAACCGTCTTTTGTGTTTGATACTCACCTAGATCAGGGGCTTTCTTTGGCTTAGGTCATTAATGCCTCTGTGGGTCTCCTTGTGGACGAGAAGTTCACTGGCTTCTCATTTCTTCTTTAAAGTGCACGGTGACATGCGGCCGAGGGTTACGGTACCGCGTCGTTCTGTGTATCAACCACCGGGGGCAGCACGTCGGCGGCTGCAACCCACAGCTGAAGTTACACATCAAGGAAGAATGTATTATCCCCATCCCCTGCTACAAACCAAAAGGTGAGTTTGTGGGGCGTGTCGAAGTTAAATCAAGTGGTGTCTTCCAGCTCTCATTCGGATATTGCAGGATTTACGTTTCGACTAACCATCTTATGAAAATGGTCTTATCGACAGATGGCAGTTAGACCTGTCCACCTAGACGTGTCCACCTAGACCTGTCCACCAGGTAAAGCAGCTGGACCAACTTGATAAATTGACCTGGGGGTGGGGGGGCTGGTAACTGAGCACTTATTGACTCAGTGCCTGTAGAGCGGCTCCTGTCTGTCTGGGCTTACACTAACATTTCTTGGTGCACGTGGCATAATTTGATGGACTCCCTGCTTTGAAGAAAAAGAAGGAAGGTGAGGAGAAAGAGAAAAGGGGGGAAAGAAAAGGAGACGGAGAAAGAGAAAGAGGAGCAGGAAACTTCCCCCTGGGAAATTCTTTCGAATTTCTTTTGTTCTTCCTGTTCATTCCCCAGGAATTCTCAGCAGAAATGGGTGGCGTCCACGGGCAGGGAGCCTTGGCCTCACGTCTCCCGTATACATTCCTTTCCATACATGGTTATTTCCATGTGCTTTAGTGAGGTATTACCAACCCGCATGCCAAGTATTTCCTTTCTGGAAATGGAAAAAGGATTATTCCCACTCCTTAGTGCCAAGAAGTCTTCCTTAGTCTTTTAGAAAGGACAGTAAAATTCTCCATTATTTCTGGGTTCGTTATCCATACATAGAGCCTTTCAATGAACCATTTCACAAATACGTATTTACTATGTCCGCCCTTCAGAAAAACCCCTAGTTGCCACGCAAGGTACAAATACTGGTTATGTCATGTCGTTGGTAAAGTCTTTCCTCCTGCCTTGTGCACTCGATAGTACTTTCATAACCACTGGCTCAGTGTCTGTGATTTCCCTGAAGTAGCCCCAAAGTATTTCCCTTCTTATTTCATAATAGTGTGTTCCTTTCTTCATATCTAACGAGGCTTAAAATCACAGAAAGGGGCGTGATGGTCGTACTCGGTAATCAGCTCCCTCGGCAACTGCACCAGTAAACGTTTAAGTAAGCCTCCTCCCAGTTTTCTAAACATCTATGTTACTTGATTTTCTCCATCGATTTCTCTATTCTTGGACAAGAAGGATTTGTGGCAAAAGAAAGCAAGCTGATGCGGTTGAAGTAAGAGCTTTCCTATGTAAACAACAGAGATTGGTATTGGGTTATAAAAGGCATTTTTATGTTCACTTGGAGAACATCTTCAGCTATGCGATGGAGATTCATCTGGTTGCCTTGGGATAATGTGTTAGGGGAAAAAATGCACGACAGAAATGTTTGGTTCACTCCAGGAGCCACTTCGGGTCCTGTGATAGAAGACTCCTCTTGGCCTTTGCAAAGCGTGACTGCTTTATTGATGAAATCTTTAGCAAATAAAGATCATGTGTCCAACTGCTTTAAGCTTGTTGTGTTCCCTTTTTCTTAGAAAAAAGTCCAGTGGAAGCTAACTTACCGTGGCTGAAACAAGCCCAAGAACTAGAAGAGCCCAGAATAGCAACAGAAGAACCAACGTGAGTCCGGGGCCTTTTATGGGCGTAATCAGGGCCCAGCCAGTTAACATGATCTATGTAATTCTTGTACTCGCTGGAGTACAATGATACATTTCAAATCCAAATGACCTGAATTTTCAGACTCTAGAGAGCTCGAGCTGGCTGGAAGTCGTCTTTATTTCACAATTCAGCAGTTCTACTTTGGCATTATCTGTGAGAAGCACATAAAAGCACAGTGTGTGTTAACTCAAAGCAGACCCAGTGGTCTGTTACAATTAAGAGATTGGGGATAATTCCTAGATCTAGATTAACACGTATGATTTGACCAAGGACCATGACAATATTATACAAATAAATCAGTCATTCCACGGTGAAGTCATGGCCAATCTGTATAAAACCAATTTATTTGAAATGTATCAGGGTGGCCCACATGATTATCAGGGGACGTCCTGGAGCCGCTGTGGTAAGGAGCAATGGAAAGAATAAGGCACTCTGCATCTTGGAGCCTAGAACAACTGCTTTGAACTGTGGGACCATAGACAAGACTTTAGTTTTTCTGTGTCTCATTCTCCTTACCTATAATGCAAGCAGGCTGGACTCCCATCTCTCCATGGTCCATTCCAACTCAGAAATCTAATGACTTCTCTCCACATGTCATTTGGCAAGTCCGGAGTGTTATGGTATCAGCGGAAATGAAGAATTAAAAGTAAATCAGAGAAACTTTCTGGAGGCAGAGGGTATGGACCTAAAGAGCAAGGAATCAAAGGTGCTCTGAGATTTTTCGCCCAGGAGTCTAGAAGAACCACAGCACTGACGATAGACGCAAGTAGTTGCACAGGACAGCTGAGTCCCTGCCACATACGTGAAGTCTGTGGTGCTGACCAGCTGCTTACCTAGGGAGTAATCCCAAGTGTTCTAGGAAAAGGGATTTCAAAGGTAATTCCAACTCAGAGCAGGTATTTCTTCTTCAGTGCCTTCGGCGACAGAGCTCCCTGCATTGAAAGACAGCGCATTCTTCTGTTGAACCACAAGAGTTATAGGCAAGATTTTTTTTTCCTATTGAGCTAAATATACCTCCTTCAAATTTCTGATTTCTGAAACAGAAAAAAAAAAACACCCCATATTTACGCCCCATCCCACGTGACAGGTTTTCACAAACTTGAAGGAAGCTGGGTCACGAGGGTGCGGTCTTTCCCAGGCTCATCCCTCAGCCTTTTCCAGTGGTTTTCATGTGTTGTTTTTAGATCCCTTACCAACCTCATTGCTGTTTTCAGAACTTTTCCACATGGACTAGTGTCAGGCCTGGAAGTGAACCCAGAGGAAACCACAGACGCTGTGCGGTGAAAGACCCCAGAGTCACTGACTGGAGAGAGAGGGGTTCTGGGCTCGTGACTGAAGCCTGTTGATCTAGAGGAAGGGGGGGGTCGCAAGAAGTGGGTGACACAGGAAAAGGAGTAGTGAGAAGAGGGAGGAGGGGACCCTGGGAAGGACCATGGTTGTAAAGGCCAAGGCGGTGAAGGGTTTAAAGGGGTGCAGATCTCATAGAAAGCCAAGGAAAAACCATGAAGGCTGAGGAAATGTGATTTAGATGGACAAGAGTCTTTTCCAGTTAATATTAGAGTGGACCATTCAAAGAGTAGAGAAGTAATCATTGCAGAGATTTAAGAAACGAATTCCCAGCCAGAAGGGAGTGGGTATTTGACTATTAAAGACCGAGTGAAGACTGGTAGTCAAGTTGATGGGAAGAAGTGGTTGTATGTATGTTTGATTATTGTTTTTATTTGAAGTTAGGATGATCTTAAATATATTAACAAGATAGTAAGGATTGTAGACAGGTTGGTTGACACGTCTATACCTCCCAGCTATACAAGGAGGATCTTGGGCTCACTGCCACTGGAACCTTCTCCCCACTTCCATCTCCTGTGATTCTGTTAAGGGAAGGAGAGAGAGAGATTCGAGACACCCAAAAGGGGGTGTGTCGTTGTGAGGCAAGGAAGACCAGAGTTCTCCGTCTGGGGTGACACGTCTTAACAGGATCTCCTGTCCCCAGAACACAACTAGATCATAATGGCTGTTCCTTCTGCATGTCCTCTCTTGGCTAATGTGATTGCTGTCTGGTTCCCCAGACCACAAGCTTGGAGCCGTTCTTGCCTCTCATTCTTCCCTTCTATGTCATGCCAATCGTACCCACCCAAATCTGTCCCCTTCCAGCCCCTTCTCTCCATTCTACTACCATCCTTTCCAGATCCTGAACTTACTTACCAGGATGCTTCCAGAAGCCTTCTGATTCGCTTCCCACACAGTCCCTTCGAACCTACCCATTCCACAGCTCCTGGACTAGGCCAGCTAAGGCACAAATCTGATTTTTTTCCTTCCAACGTTGAGAATACCCCCAGGGTTCCCAAAGCTTTACACTCGTTGGCAAGGCTAGCGGGACTTAGCGGGAGCCGTCACCCTTCCTGGCTCCCGGCCTCATCCCTGACCACTTCCTTACTTTGCCTTGAGTGGGATGTTCCAGCCACACGGAACTGATGGCTGTGCCTGGCCTACATCAACTTGCCACTCACATCCACATTGCCCTTGTACTAATTCTCTTCTCTGAGTGTAGATTTCATCAGAATCACCAGTGGTGCTACGTGAATGCAGATTTCTGGGCCCCACAGGACAGACGCTGGGGGGTGGGGCTTAGTCACTAGACCGTTTTCAGCTCTGACAGATAACTCTGTGTGTGTGTGTGTGTGTGTGTGTGTGTGTGTGTCTGTGGTAAAATATGCACAACAAAATAGATGGGGGAGGTGTAGAGGTACAAACTTCTAGTTATAAAATAAGTCATGGGGATGAGCAGAGTACATAGTCCGTCATATTTAATCACTTTGCATGGTGACTGACAGTGAGGACGCCCACCGTGGGAATCGTGTCATAACATATAAAAATATCAGCTCACTCTGATGCTCACGTGAAACTGCTAGAATATTGTATGTCAATTGCACTTCAACTTAAAAAATTACCTCTTTAACCATTGTTAAGGGCACGGTTTAGTGGCAGTAAAGTAACGCTGATGCCATTGTGTGACCACCCACCTCCAGAACCGCTTCATCTCCACCCACATACACTCCGTACCGTTAAGCACTAACCCCCCATATCGCCCTTCCGGTCCCCCGGCCCCCAGCGCCTCCATTCGACGTTCTGTCTATGGCTCTGTCACCGGCGTTTTTAGTCAGCACGCCAGGTGACTGGGGAGGGTGCGGCCAAGGTTGGGAAACACTGGATCAGAGTCCCAGGGGCCTCTTTCAAGGTCTGAAAATCCTATTCATTTTTTTTTAAATTTTTATTTATTTTAATGTTTATTAGTTTCAGAGAGAGAGGGAGAGAGAGAGACAGCATGAGCAGGGGAGGGGCAGAGAGAGGGAGACACAGAATCTGAAGCAGCTCCAGGCTCTGAGCTGTCAGCACAGAGCCCGACGCGGGGCTTGAACCCACGAACTGTGAGATCATGACCTGACCGGAAATCGAGTGGGACACTCAGCCACCCAAGCGCCCCCCATTTATGTCGCTGGAGGGGCAGTGCCACGTAAGCTGTGGGCGATCTGGACCTCATCTTCATTCCAGGCCTGCTCAGCCGGCGGCCCACCTGCCCTGCTGGCGGCCCCCTCCCCACTGACTCCCCCAGCCCCTTTCCTCCAGAAAGACCCCACTCTGCTCTCTGTGGGAGACCGAGCCCGCAGCACCCGCTCCGGCCTCCTCCCCCTTCCTCTCCTTCATAACTCAGGCCGCGCCGGCTGTGCGGTGTGAGGCTCACCGTTCCCTCCGGCTGCCACTGCTGCCCCCGTTCACCCCCGTTCACCCGCGTTTGCAGTCGGACGGCAGCCACCTCAGCTCCCGGCGCCCTTTCCTAACCGCTGGCCTCTGTGTGTGGGGCGCTCGCCTGGCGGCGACAGGGCAGGGGGCGCTGCTGCAGCTCAGAACCTTCGAGAAAGCCTGCCAAGCCCGCCTGGAGAGGAGCAGAATCTCTGCCTCCGTGGTTCGCCCGGGCCTGCGCTCTGAGTTTTCGCAGGGCGTGGATAAAACGACGGCTTGCACAGCGAAGCCGGGGCCCCGCAGCCCCGACCTTCCAGCTCTGCGGGGCGTGCTGACCGTCGTCCCTGGAGAGCTCGCTTTCTTCGGGGTTCACGATGCTTCCGCGGCTCGGCTGCCCCTTCTCCCCGTTTTCTTAGATGAAAACCAAGGCAGTAGGGCCGGTGCGGGGCGCTTCGGGTGTCGTCTTCACGCTCTTCTCCGTCTCGGCCTGCGGAAGCGGGTCCTCCGTCAGGCCGCGGGCCTCACAACAGTCCTAACGGCTAACCTGAGGGCGTCGCTCGTGCCAGGGTCCACGTGCTGGCTTAGCTCAGTTCCGACGGGGCCCCCGTGACGAGCTGCGGTCATGACCCGCGCTTTCGGGCGAGGTCGCCAAGGGTCAGGGAGGGGCTCCGCTTGGGGCGCGAGGAAGCGCCTCGGTGTTGCTTTACGAGACCGACGAGAGGCCGGTTCGACTGAGTGTGTCTGTTACGGGCCGGGGACTCAGGGGCAGCTTCCGGGAGCGGCGGCGACGCAGCGGGCGTCGCGAGAGCCGCCTGACAAGCATGTGGGGTGCTGCGCGGCCAGCGGGGCGCGCCCGGGTGTGGGTGGGGCCGCGCCCGGACGTGGGGGCAAGTGCCCGGATGTGCGGGGCGCGCCCGGGTGTGGGGGGGGCCGCGCCCGGACGTGGGGGCAAGTGCCCGGATGTGCGGGCCGTGCCTGGGTGTGGGGGGGGGCCGTGCCCGGACGTGGGGGCAAGTGCCCGGATGTGCGGGCCGCGCCCGGATGTGGGGGTTCCGCGCCCGGATGTGGGGGCCGCGCCCGGATGTGGGGGCCGCGCCCGGATGTGGGGGGCCCGTGTCCGGATGTGGGGGGCCCGCGCCCGGATGTGGGGGCCGTGCCCGGATGTGGGGGCCGTGCCCGGATGTGGGGGTGCCGCGCCCGGATGTGGGGCCCGTGCCCGGATGTGGGGGTGCCGCGCCCGGATGTGAGGGCCGTGCCCGGATGTGGGGGCCGTGTCCGGAGGTGGAGGTGACGCGCCCGGATGTGGAGGGGACGCGCCCGGATGTGGGGGGGCCGCGCCCGGGTGTGGGGGGGCCGCGCCCGGGTGTGGCGCCAGGCCTGCACGCTGACGTTCAGGGTGCGGAGAGGGGCCGGTGGGGGCAGAGGTGGTGATGGCAGCAGGGAAGGAGCTGGGCGGTGAGCGGGTCTTGGACGCCTTCTCGGCCACTGAGGGCTTGGACTTCATTTGGAGGCGGTGGGAGGGTTTCCCAAGGATGCCACCATGATTACATTTTATTTTATTTATTCATTTTTAAATTTTATTTAAATCCCAGTTAGTTAACATGTAGTGTAATCATGGTTTCAGGAACAGAACTTGGCGATTCATCGCTTACACTGACACCCAGGGCTCAGCCCAGCAAGCGCCCTCCGCCGTGCCCATCCCCCGTGGGCCCTCCCCCGCTCAGACACCCCTCCGGCAGCCCTCGGTGGGTTCTGTTTAACAGTCTCCGGTTTGCCTCCCTCTCGGATTTTATCTTAGTTTTCCTTCCTTCTCCTGTGTTCATCTGCGGTGTTTCTTAAATTCCACATGGGAGTGAAGTCTTATGGTGCCTTTCTTTGTCTTATTTCACTCAGCAGAATACACTCTGCTTCCACCCATGTTGCAAATGGCAGGGTTTCATTCTTTTTTCTTTATGTTTATTTATTTTGAGAGAGAGACAGAGCGTAAGTGGAAGAAGGTTAGAGAGAGACAGAATCTGAAGCAGCTCCAGGTTCTGAGCTGTCAGCACAGAGCCCGATGTGGGGCTCGAACCCACGAACCGTGAGATCATGACCTGCGCTGAAGTCAGACGTGCAACTTAGTGAGCCACGCAGGCGCCCCTTTCTTTTAAGAGAGAGAACACAGGAGCGTTCACACACGTGCGTGAGGGG